AGTCAGCCAATGTTCGGTGAGACATAACACAGAAAAGTCTTTGTCACAAATATATGCTTGAAGTACATCCTGTTTGTTTCTTATTGACCTAACATTTTGATAAAATAGTCGAAATTCATCCAATTTTTCAACTTCTATTGGTGCTGGACCACTCTGATGTTTGGGTGCCCCTTTTCCAATACTAGATGAGATTTGTAGTTTTATACTTGAGGATCCAACTGTGTGGTTGCCATCCTTCTCTTCCGAAAAAAAGACACCAGTGCTCCACTAGGCCAGATTTCCCTTTTCCAAGCCGTCTTCAATAGTTCGCGATTTATACACACCTTCATGGAAGCATATAAGTCAGGCATTTTCGATTGATGTATTTCACAGCTCACGCCTTCTAAACTGGTTTCCAAAAACTTTTCGAGTTCCTCAGGCTTGGTTCCTGGCTTGAGCCTTGTCACATGAAGGTTAACCATTTTAGGAACAGTTTCGACATTGCAAGGTGTTTCAGATTTCCCTACAAGAAATTTTCTTTTTTTCCTAGGATTTACTTGGGACCATGCACCCTCGGGAACATGTGCAGATTCATTTTCAGAATTTTCCTCAATATGTATTAAGTTATTAAAAACAGTTCTAGATTTGGCTTCCAGTACTGCTTCACTAACTTCTTTGGATGATATAATCGGTCGACTTTCATTATTTATTTCCTTTTTATTTTTGTTTTTCTGAATAACAGCTGCAAAACTTGTTGACACTGATGGACCCTGTCCCTGTGTACTTTGCATCCCGGTAGACGGCTGAGTAGCCACTGCCGTCACACCTTTCTTATCATTGTTTTGCTTATTAGTTACTGACCAGTTTTTTCTACTGTCAACTTTATTGATATCTACGCTTGTTTGGATTGCGGCTTCGTACTTAATTTCTAAATCAGCATTTTTCGATTTTTGTAATTTCAAGTCACTCTCTAATCTTTTAACTTTCTCTTGTAGCAAACTGTTAGAAATCTGTTGTTCATTTACTAACATTTTTAAATAAGTTAAAATTTCGTTATCTGTACCTGTTGTTTCTGTTTCCAGGTCATCACATGATTGCGGAAGTTTTTGATTATCACAGCAAATTATTTTTGCACTTATTCTTTGACCACATGATGGGTGGTAGATTGAGTCACAATTTATGCACTTGAGACCGTTAGCTACGACTTTTTTACAATATTTGCAGTCTCTGTGATCATTCGCGTCCGACTCAGTCGGCGCCATCTTGCTTTTTTTGCTTGCTTTAACAGTAGAACATTTATTTCTAAATCCAAATTGCTCCTTACGTAACAAATTATGTTTGTCAAAGAACTTTGTCAGTCGGTTTTTTACAATTATTTCGATTACTTTTCCAAAAATTGGGATGATGGAGATGGGTCGATAGTTATCGGGAACCGAGCTATCGCCTTTGTTCTTGAAAATTGGAATGATCTTGGTAACCTTGAAGAGGCTAGGGAACGAACCTGTTGTAAAGCACATGTTGATTAGGAGAGTGAGAGGTTTCACAAGAACACCAATCGTTTCATTAACAATAATACTGTTTATTCCATAGACATCAAAACAATTCGATTTTCTCAATAGTTTGATTGCACTGATTACATCTTCCTCTAGCACAGGAGCAAAGAAGAAAGAATCTTTCGGTCTCGGATTATTTTTCAGGAAGTCTGTTGTTTGATTATCATAAAGAGGCAAGGAGCCTATAATACTCTCGGCTACATGAGAAAAAAAGTTATTGAACTCATCTGGCGATAACGTGTCATTAGTCGCAACTTTATGTCGTACAGAATTCCTTTCATAATTGATCAAGCGCCAACTGTCTCTTGGTTTGTTAACGGAGTTGCTCAAGTATTGACTATATGTAGCTTTTTTCGCCCTCTTGATTTCATCAGAATAGTAGGTTTTGAATTTTTTATATACCTCATGATCTGCTGGATCACCAGACGAAATACTTATAGTTTTAATGCACGAGAGACAGTTCCTCAGTTGACGTAACTCTTCACTAAAGAAGTTTACAGGTGCTTTGTTGCATGTCTTATAAGACCTCCACTAGCAATACCAATCAGACGAACAAGACAAGCCCAGTCAGCACATCCTTTCGCTGTCAACCTCGAAAGATGTCGAACAGCACTTTATCAAGACTCCTTCATCCATAGAACGGCTAGGCTGTGGAATTCATTGCCTGTGGAAGTATTCCCAACAACATATAATCTTCAAAAGTTCAAAAAAAATTTCAATACCTACCTCTTGTCCCTATCCTCCCTAGGAACGCACGATGTTCTTTGAACATTATAGGGATTCCCTTTCGTGCGCTCCAAGCGATAAAAAAAAAAAAAAAAAAAAAAAAACCTTTTAGGAAAATGTCTGTTTATAAGCGATTCATAAGTATCAACTATAAAAGAGGATAGCTCGTGTATGCTATCATCAGTGCTTTCGATATCATCGAACTTACTGAAACATACTAACGATAATGATTCATTCAATTTACGTAGTCCTGTCTTATTAATTTTTCTTCCAAAGCAACTCTTTGTTGGTTCTTTATAAGTCTTTATGTTCATAGTTTGAGCAAGATGATCTGATAAACAAGGTTCAAATACCTTGACTGTGAATTCTTTAGTACTTATATTGGTAAGAATATTGTCGATACAGCTTGTTGAAGTTGAGGTATGTCTAGTTTGCTCACAGATAGTGATCTGAAGACCATATGAGCTTACAATGTCTACCCAAGAATTTGAGATTGCAGTAGTCTTTAGCAGGTCTATGTTAAAATCGCCCACTATTACAAGTCTATCATACTTACTTGAGAGGAATGAAACTATTTCAGAGAACTTTTCAAAAAAAATTTCAATATCTCCACTTGGAGGCCTGTAAACAGTTAAAATAACAATTTTGATGCATGACAACTCGAGAGCACAGAATTCAGCATGCATTTCAATACTGTACTTGTCAACATCTAAAGATTTACTGTTCAAGTTAGAATCCACAAAAATACACACACCTCCGTGTATAGTGTTTTTTCGACAAAAAAATGAAATTAATTTGAGATTATGTAAATTTACCATTTCAAGAGTCTTTTCATTCATCCAATGCTCACTCAAGCATAGAATATTATATTGTTGACTATCGAGGAATACTAGTATTTCTTCTATTTTATTAGATAAAGATTGAATATTCAAGTGAAGTATTCTCACCCAATCTGCTTCATGCAGCTCATAATCGCTAGACTGATCCAAATTGATCGCAGATTTGTTCATCATGAGGTCACAGTTTCCATGTTCTTTTTGAAAAAAAAACCGCTGAACGTGTGCATCCTCAGGCCATACAGATGACTCCATGGCCTTTTGTGAGTTTTTGTCATAGATGGTGACTTTAAATGATGCGTATATCTCGGGAACTCTGGACTTCCAATTCTCGCAGACTACTTCTGGAAAATTCGGCTTCAAAAATGACTTCAAATCTTCCGTTGTAGTGTTGGGATTTAGTCTCGATACATGCAACACCATGGTTTTGGGAATCCCTTTCAACGAAGAGTTTGATATACTATTAGTACCTACTAGTAATGCGGATCTTTTCTTTCTATGGTTTACTGTTTTCCATGGTGTAACCACCGGTGTAACGTTGTGTTCATTCGGTTGGACCAGATGTTGGTTCTGTTTAGACGTTCCCGCTTGATTAATGCTTTCGCTAACTTGCTCTACAGTTATAGATTGTTTACTAGCAATCGATGAATTATTCTTCTTACTTTCCGTTTGTGGCTTATTAATAACAGAAGCCCCGGATGAATTCGTCAGCGTGGCAACATTGTATTGTTGTTTACGTTCACCACTCGGTCTATTTCTATTTTGTATATCTGAGTTCAACAGGCTAATGATTGTTTCTTTGTCGGTTATGCTTCGCACTAATTCACTATTCAGTCTTTGCAAACAATCAATTTCAGTGTCTTTACATTTGATTTCACATTTCAAGTTAGTGATGGTCAATTTGTTGGTTATGTCAAATGGTTGAGAGTCACTGATAGAATCAAAAAACTCACAGTTATCTCCACCTTCGATCATTCTACGAACATTTTCACTAAGTTTCACATCATTAGGCACCTTTTTCTTTATTATGATTTCAATTAGTTCTGATTTTTTAAACTTGTCCAATTCACGACACATCAACTCGTACGTTGCCATGTTGCCGATGTATTGAGTATTGACTCATCACAAAGCTCAAATAAGACCATCTCTCGATAGAGTACTGTTCGCATGTTTGGAAATATCACGCCCTTATTCAGTCAGAAGTTAAACATCTAGAACATCCTGTTACAGTGATTTTTTTGTAGCACATCGTCACTTTGGAATCCATCTTCTGTGGATACCTTCCCAGAAAATTACAATTTGAAGTAATTCAAGAGAAGGATTCACAATTTTTTGTCATCCAGTACTCGCAGTGCCTCTGTGGCATCATAGGTCCATCCTTTTGGGAACACTCCACCATAAAAACAATACCCAGACAACATGAGACTATACCGAGGGGTTAACCAATGAATTAGAGTTATTCAAACAATTCGAGAGGCCATATGTTGTTCAAAATTGCATATCTCAAAACATCCTGTATGGATCTTGATGAATTCGAAACCATTTCAAGAAAACACATCAGGCTTCATGTTTTTGCAGTCAGAAAAAAATTTCAAAAATTATCCTACTAACGGGGTGACCTCAAACTTTTCGAAAATTATCACACTTTCAGATATCATCCTGTAGGTCATGATTCTGAAAAGGTGGAGGAACGTAAGAAAATTATGTTATACCCAATTGACTGAGCAATTCGAATCCCAAAAAAAATCGAAAATCGGTTGATCCCGTCCAAAGTTATGACGGTTCGAAAACAAACAAAATATTCGCTTGTCTCACTTTAAATGTGGAGCAGTTTATATGGTGGACGATTCGGTGGACGTACGCGTCCACGACCTACCACCAGAAACAAACCCATTAATCATCTCAGCGGAAATGAGCAAATATGGAGAAGTCCAATCCATAACAAAGGAAAAATGGAGCAGTAGTGTGAAATTTGCAAATGTTTTCACTGGCATTTTTACATTAAAAATGAAAATCAGAGTCCCTATCCCATCCTTTGTAAAGATTGATAATGAAACAACCCTTGTCACATATCCCAACCAAGAACAAACATGTTTGATATGTAGCAAACCACGTCATGTTGGACAAGAGTGTCCAGCACGAAAAGCGAGAATAGCGAAATCCGCCAATGACAACATAACATGTGCAGAAAAAATCTCTGGCGGTTACATAAACTTGAACACATATGCCAGCAATACACTATCTCCATCTCTACATTCAGACGAAGTAGTCTCCAACCCAATTGATACCAACATCCAGCCTAATAACATACCAGAAGAACCCATATCACCAACACCCACCACAGCAGAAACAAATGCACAAAGTACCACAATAGTGGTACACCCGCAAATTCACCACCCAGCTACAACGGAAAAACATTCAGACTCCGAAAACTCGCAGAACGTAATTTTGGAAACCATCGGTGCAAGCTCTTTCAATGCGTCATGGGGAGAAGAAGTTGAAGCAGCTTCTTATGTCCGCAATGAAAAACCTGGAGAAGATCTACCACCACCCAAGAAATCGAAACGCAACAAAAACAAGTCCAAATCAACGACAGAAAAAGACAACGAAGCAAAAGATCAGTCGGCAATTCCTGACCCTCTCATAGATGGCCATACCCAAATGCACCAGGTTAACAGAACAATGTCAGTTGATTCTGACACGTTTTAAAGGAAGTAGGAAAAGAATGACATCTCTACTACAACAAACAGCTTATAAAATACTAACACTAAATATATGCAACATCCAATCTGATTATAAAATATCTATCCTATCGAACATTATCAGGTCAAGAGCTATCGATGTTGCCCTTCTACAGGAGGTGTCGTTAGAAGACCTATATATTTCAGGATACCACACAATTGTCAATACAAAACAAAACATACGAGGAACAGCTGTATGCATAAGAGAAGGCATCAATTATAAAAATTTGAAAATACTCCCATCTTTCAGAGGCATATCAGTAACAATTGGAGACACAAAGATTATAAATGTATATGCACCATCAGGTTCCCAAAACAAGAGAGCAAGAGAAAAGTTTTATACAGAGGACGTCACATATCTGTTTATGGGAAACACCGACAAAACTGTCTTGGGGGGTGACTTTAACTGCATATTATCAAAAAATGATACGTTAAATGATCATTTCGAACATTCCAAAGCACTACAATCATTAGTTACTGGCCTACAGTTGGGAGATTCCTGGAACGAAAAAAATTTTAACAAGGAAGGCTTTACCTTCATTCGGAACCAAGTAGCCTCAAGGTTAGACCGAATATATGTAGATAAAAATTCAGTTGACAGTATAACAAATACACAGAGAGTAGTCACACCAATATCAGACCATTTAGGCTATGAAATTACCCTAAAAATAAATATAAAATCCACAGTTAGCACAAGAAAAATATGGAGATTGAACACTAACATACTTTTGAAAGAAGGGTTGAAGGAGGAACTAAGAGGAAAATGGGCTTTTTGGAGAAAACAGTGCAGAAAGTACAACGACATAATCGACTGGTGGATTTATTACTTAAAACCAAAGCTAAAATCATTCCTGAAATGGAAAAGTAGTGAGGATTACAGAGAGCAACAAGATACTATAAATTTCCTGACAAATTTCATCCACCATTTAATAAACCTCCCCAAAACCCAAGACAATTACATAAAATATAAGGAATGTAAAGCTCAACTTCTCAAAATACATGTGAAAAACATCAAACGCTCCCGAATACACTACCCAAAACAAATACATATAGACGGGGAAAAGTTATCAATGCATCAAGTCGTCAGAGCAGAAAAAAACAAAAGGAAGTGCTACATAAATGAAATGATGTAGATGTATTTGATTTATTGGCCGATGTTAAAACAACGTCGGTGGACGACCAAGTCGTAATGGGAAGAACTAGTACCGACGAAGTCTTTAACTGCCTGAAAAGTAGTGCTAGAAACAAATCACCTGGTATAGACGGCATTCCCAGAGAGTTCTATATCACAATGTGGGACATTGTGAGAGAAGATCTCACAGCAGTAATAAACGAAGTTTTGCTCAAAACAAAGATGCCCAAAAAATTGAAGGAAGGCCTTATTGTCATGGTCCCAAAAAACAAAATTATTAAAACAATACAGGACATAAGACCCATCTCCTTATTGAACCATGATTACAAGATAGTGACAGGGATGATAAAAAATCGTTTGAGAGTTTTCATGACAGACATTATAGGCACAGAGCAAGCGTGCTCAATAGATGGACGCTGCATTCTAGACAACTTATGTGGCATAAGAGATAAAATAACTGAAACACAAATTAAACAGCAGAATAAAACGATAATTTCAACAGATCTAGACCATGCATTCAACAGATCTAGACCATGCATTCGACAGAATAAGCCATACATATATTACCACAGTTATGAAGCATATGGGATTTGGCCAAAAACTGTTATCTCTAATTGAACAAATATTCACCAACGCTTACTCAAGTTTAAAAATAAACAATCACCTAACAAAACCTATACCGATTCAAAGATCTGTAAGACAAGGCTGCCCACTATCAACGCTCTTTTTTAATATATCTATTGAGCCACTGATACATAGACTTTACAAAGAGGTGCAGGGAGAAGGGTTGATTCGTGCCTTCGCAGATGATGTCGTCATAATCACCAAAACCATTGAAGAAAGCCATATCACAAATATAAGGGATATTATCCAACAATTTTGCCTTGTATCAGGATCCCTCCTAAACTCAAACAAAAAAAAACACATGTATCTAAGAAACATACTGCCAAATCAAAAACCACAGATCCAGTGGATGGTTGAACAGGACTATATAAAAATACTGGGCATAGAATTTCACCGCAAATTCCGTGGAACAACCAGAATTAACTGGGACTGGATAACAAATTCTGTGATCGGCACTTTAAAAGAAAATGCGACTAGGAATCTTTCTTTGGCCCAAAAAATATACTATATTAATACATTTGCGCTGTCAAAAATATGGTATGCCAGTCAAATACTACCCCTGCCTAAAATGACACACAAAAAAATTCAAAGTTCTGTTGGAAGATTCTTATGGTATGGGAAACCTATGAGAATAGCACATCAGCAGCTACTCCTCCCCAAGATGAGAGGTGGACAAGGACTGATTTCCTCACTTGAAAAATCCCGAGTTATGTTTGTCAAAAGAACAACCTTACAATTGCAAGGATTAGGTGATCCCTGTTCAGAGCAAATTTTGAGAAAATATATCAATTGGGACTCCATAACAAATCCACCATTTGTAAAAGGTTTCCCTGTCGAGGTTCCATACATCAAATATTTTGTACAGGAAGCATGCTATGTGGATAAAGGAGATCTTATGAACCTACATTTGGAACACTTTTACAAGGAACAACTACGCAGCCTGCCTACACCTAAGGAGCAAAGTAAAAATCCAAATGCGAACTGGAATAGGATTTGGAAAAACTACGCAGACTGCCTACACCTAAGGAGCAAAGTAAAAATCCCTCGAAAAATCCCAATGCGAACTGGAATAGGATTTGGAAAAATAGAAACTCCAAGAAGCTTACACTACAGCAAAGAGACATATGGTACCATATAGTGAACAACACCTTCCCAGTGCAATCACAAATAGCAGAACTACACAATCACGGGAACAATAGATGCTGCTTTGTTCTTCCTTGGACACCCTTGAACATCACTTTACCCAGTGCTCCAGACTGCATGTAATATGGGACTATATCAGCCAATGGATCTGCAAGTACACAGGGATTCCTCAAGCAAGGATCAGTATCAAATTCCTCACAACACCAGGATGGCGCTTTGATGTACCTCTACACAAGGATGTGATTCAGGCAATAGGACACATATTTACACTGGTTTCAACAATAAGCCCTCCATATCAGCTTGCAGACTACCTAGCACTCCTGCACTAACATAACCTAAGCTCATCATTGTATATATTAGATTAAGATTTTATCTTAAAAAAAAAAATGAAAAAAAAAATTGATATTTTTATAGAAAATGACACTATTTTCAAAATAGAAAATCAATATAATATGATTGCAAATGTTAATTGGGCTGAAATTTATGGTCAGGAGGTCATAAAAAACTCCTATAAATTTTGGGTTTCTGTTTTGCATCACACAAATGCTGCAGGAGACAGAGTTTTCAAAGAAATTGCTGATTTCATTTTATTGTTGTTAAGTTTGCTGAATAGCAATGCAACAGTTGAGAGTTTTCAGTATTATGAATTTGGTAAAAACTAAAGTTAGGAATAAGATGCAACTACCTATGTTGTCTGCAATTATTCGACTGAAAATATTTTTCTTCAATGAATCAAAATGTTGTAACAGTTTTAATCTGACAAGAAGAATGATATTGAGATTCAACAAGTCAATTTATGAGAATGTAGAAGAAGATGAGGAGGCTGTTTTCTTCTCAGAAATTGTTGAAACAGATGGAGAAAATGAATGTTTGATTTCCATACATGAATAATAAATTCATAGTTCCTATACATGTACCATGTACCTGATTAAAGACCAAATAAAATGATTCTACAATTCATCACCAGTTTGAATTTGGCGCCCAGTGGCACTTCCTATGAACTATGATGGCGCTTATTGAATGTAACTATCTGGCAACCCTGATTTGGGAGAGTAATCCAGTTTTCAACTATAGGAGAAAAGTGAGGGGTAATCCACTCTCCCAAAAATGTACAGCCATTGGATAGATTGGGTATAGGATTGGAGGGATGGAGGGATATTAGCAGATATTATAAATAGAAAATTGGACCAAGATTGGATGGATTACATCAGGATGGGACACAAAGTGTCTACATATTGAAAATACTGGTTAACTCCTTGTAAAAGGATCAGATTAATTCACTTACCTAATAGTAATTTCCATATTAAACTTCTATAGGCTGCTGGCACTGAGAATCTTAAGCAAAATTGCTTGAGCTTTCCACAATCCAAAGGCTTTTCTTTCAACAATATTTCTAGTGACTTTTTCTCTTCCACACTTCTAAAACCAACTTTTTCATAGTATGCTGAACGGAAGTTCCTTTCATCAGTTGCCATTATTCACTTAAATTATCTGAGCTTAAAACTATCTTAATTTTGATTGATGGATTCAGTAGACATGCACCATGCCATATATGAATGTCCAACATAAAATATAGGTGAAGAAGTGTCCAAATATTCCGTTGATTAGCAGAGATTTTCTTGATATGAAGAATTTTTTCCAGGAATCAATACCAGCTTTGCCCAGTAGCATGAACCAGAAACCTGTTACAGCCACAATGAAAAATAGTGCACCATATAATCCCGTCAAACCAAGAACACCTGCAATATTAAAGATATAAATCAAATTTTATCAATCGGTAAAAGGGCATATTCTCTCGGGCATATCATTGTTCAATTGCAGCAGTAATCCAACCTAAATTCTACAAATATGATAATTTGAATTACCTGCAGTACAACCTGAAACTGCTGCAACAGAGGTTCTACAATATTCAACTATTGATAAATTATTTCTTATCGCAGATTCACTATAAGCTACGAAAGGTTCGTTTTTTACTTTAGTGGCCATTATACAGATTGTTGTGAATTTAAAGACATGGACATGACATGACAATAATAATAATGTAATTTTGAAATTTCCAAATTAAGCCAACGAACGAGCCACTGTATAGCTGTGTGAAATTGGCAGCCAAAGATAGCAGCCAAAATCTCCGAACATTGCCGAAGACCCAGTGGCGGACAACATGTTTTTTTTCCATGCCTTCGAATACGAAAAACAATATTTTGAGTGAATTTTGAATGTATTATATAGTTATAAAAAACTGCTGGACAAAATTAACATACCCAATGAAGTAATTGACGATTTGACCATAGAAGCAATCCCTGCAACACCTATCCAGAATAATACCTATATGAAAAAATCCAACCAAACACACAAAAAAATTATTTTGAGGGTGTAAATAAAAAACTGCTGCGATGACATAGGGTAGGAATCATTCAAACAGACCTAAGGAACGATTTGCCTATCGAAAAACTCCCCGCAACCCCTATCGAAAAAAAAAATATCATATTCAACCCTACAGATAAAAAATTTTTTTTAGTGTGTAAATGAAAAACTGCTGCGATGACATATGGTAGGAATCATTCGAACATACTCAAGGAACGATTTGCCTATCGAAAATCTCCCCGCAACCCCTATCGAAAAAAAATATATTATATTCAACCCCCTGCATGAAAAATTTTTTTTAGTGTGTAAATGAGAAACTGCTGCGATGACATATGGTTGGAATCATTCAAACAGACCTGAGAAACGATTTGCCTATCGAAAAACTTCCCGCAACCCCTATCGAAAAAAAATATATCATATTCCACCCTACAGATGAAGAATTTTTTTCAGTGTGTAAATGAAAAACTGCTGCGATGACATATGGTAGGAATCATTCAAACATACTCAAGGAACGATTTGCCTATCGAAAATCTCCCAGCAACCCCTATCGAAAAAAAATATATCATATTCCACCCTACAGATAAAAATTTTTTTTTAGTGTGTAAATGAAAAACTGCTGCGATGACATATGGTAGGAATCATTCAAACATACTCAAGGAACGATTTGCCTATCGAAAATCTCCCCGCAACCCCTATCGAAAAAAAATATATTATATTCAACCCCCTGCATGAAAAATTTTTTTTAGTGTGTAAATGAAAAACTGCTGCGATGCCATATGGTAGGAATCATTCAAACACACCCAAGGAACGATTTGCCTATCGAAAAACTCCCCGCAACCCCTATGGAAAAAAAATATATCATATTCCACCCTACAGATAAAAAATTTTTTTTAGTGTGTAAATGAAAAACTGCTGCGATGACATAGGGTAGGAATCATTCAAACATACCCAAGGAACGATTTGCCTATCGAAAACTCCCCGCAACCCCTATCGAAAAAAAATATATCATATTCCACCCTACAGATAAAAATTTTTTTTTAGTGTGTGAATGAAAAACTGCTGCGATGACATATGGTAGAAATCATTCAAACATACTCAAGGAACGATTTGCCTATCGAAAATCTCCCCGCAACCCCTATCGAAAAAAAATATATTATATTCAACCCCCTGCATGAAAAATTTTTTTTAGTGTGTAAATGAGAAACTGCTGCGATGACATATGGTTGGAATCATTCAAACAGACCTAAGAAACGATTTGCCTATCGAAAAACTTCCCGCAACCCCTATCGAAAAAAAATATATCATATTCCACCCTACAGATGAAGAATTTTTTTCAGTGTGTAAATGAAAAACTGCTGCGATGACATATGGTAGGAATCATTCAAACATACTCAAGGAACGATTTGCCTATCGAAAATCTCCCAGCAACCCCTATCGAAAAAAAATATATCATATTCCACCCTACAGATAAAAATTTTTTTTTAGTGTGTAAATGAAAAACTGCTGCGATGACATATGGTAGGAATCATTCAAACATACTCAAGGAACGATTTGCCTATCGAAAATCTCCCCGCAACCCCTATCGAAAAAAAATATATTATATTCACCCCCTGCATGAAAAATTTTTTTTAGTGTGTAAATGAAAAACTGCTGCGATGCCATATGGTAGGAATCATTCAAACACACCCAAGTAACGATTTGCCTATCGAAAAACTCCCCGCAACCCCTATGGAAAAAAAATATATCATATTCCACCCTACAGATAAAAAATTTTTTTTAGTGTGTAAATGAAAAACTGCTGCGATGACATAGGGTAGGAATCATTCAAACATACCCAAGGAACGATTTGCCTATCGAAAACTCCCCGCAACCCCTATCGAAAAAAAATATATCATATTCCACCCTACAGATAAAAAATTTTTTTTAGTGTGTGAATGAAAAACTGCTGCGATGACATATGGTAGAAATCATTCAAACATACTCAAGGAACGATTAGCCTATCGAAAATCTCCCCGCAACCCCTATCGAAAAAAAATATATTATATTCAACCCCCTGCATGAAAAATTTTGTTTAGTGTGTAAATGAGGAACTGCTGCGATGACATATGGTTGGAATCATTCAAACAGACCTAAGAAACGATTTGCCTATCGAAAAACTCCCCGCAACCCCTATCGAAAAAAAAATATATCATATTCCACCCTACAGATGAAGAATTTTTTTCAGTGTGTAAATGAAAAACTGCTGCGATGACATATGGTAGGAATCATTCAAACATACTCAAGGAAAGATTTGCCTATCGAAAATCTCCCAGCAACCCCTATCGAAAAAAAATATATCATATTCCACCCTACAGATAAAAATTTCTTCTTAGTGTGTAAATGAAAAACTGCTGCGATGACATATGGTAGGAATCATTCAAACATACTCAAGGAACGATTTGCCTATCGAAAATCTCCCCGCAACCCCTATCGAAAAAAAATATATTATATTCAACCCCCTGCATGAAAAATTTTTTTTAGTGTGTAAATGAAAAACTGCTGCGATGCCATATGGTGGGAATCATTCAAACACACCCAAGGAACGATTTGCCTATCGAAAAACTCCCCGCAACCCCTATGGAAAAAAAATATATCATATTCCACCCTACAGATAAAAAATTTTTTTTAGTGTGTAAATGAAAAACTGCTGCGATGACATAGGGTAGGAATCATTCAAACATACCCAAGGAACGATTTGCCTATCGAAAACTCCCCGCAACCCCTATCGAAAAAAAATATATCATATTCCACCCTACAGATAAAAAATTTTTTTTAGTGTGTAAATGAAAAACTGCTGCGATGACATATGGTAGGAATCATTCGAACATACTCAAGGAACGATTTGCCTATCGAAAATCTCCCCGCAACCCCTATCGAAAAAAAATATATCATATTCCACCCTACAGATAAAAAATTTTTTTTAGTGTGTAAATGAAAAACTGCTGCGATGCCATATGGTAGGAATCATTCAAACACACCCAAGGAACGATTTGCCTATCGAAAAACTCCCCGCAACCCCTATGGAAAAAAAATATATCATATTCCACCCTACAGATAAAAAATTTTTTTTAGTGTGTAAATGAAAAACTGCTGCGATGACATAGGGTAGGAATCATTCAAACATACCCAAGGAACGATTTGCCTATCGAAAACTCCCCGCAACCCCTATCGAAAAAAAATATATCATATTCCACCCTACAGATAAAAAATTTTTTTTAGTGTGTAAATGAAAAACTGCTGCGATGACATAGGGTAGGAATCATTCAAACATACCCAAGGAACGATTTGCCTATCGAAAACTCCCCGCAACCCCTATCGAAAAAAAATATATCATATTCCACCCTACAGATAAAAAATTTTTTTTAGTGTGTAAATGAAAAACTGCTGCGATGACATAGGGTAGGAATCATTCAAACATACCCAAGGAACGATTTGCCTATCGAAAACTCCCCGCAACCCCTATCGAAAAAAAATATATCATATTCCACCCTACAGATAAAAAATTTTTTTTAGTGTGTAAATGAAAAACTGCTGCGATGACATATGGTAGGAATCATTCGAACATACTCAAGGAACGATTTGCCTATCGAAAATCTCCCCGCAACCCCTATCGAAAAAAAATATATCATATTCCACCCTACAGATGAAGAATTTTTTTCAGTGTGTAAATGAAAAACTGCTGCGATGACATATGGTAGGAATCATTCAAACATACTCAAGGAAAGATTTGCCTATCGAAAATCTCCCAGCAACCCCTATCGAAAAAAAATATATCATATTCCACCCTACAGATAAAAATTTCTTCTTAGTGTGTAAATGAAAAACTGCTGCGATGACATATGGTAGGAATCATTCAAACATACTCAAGGAACGATTTGCCTATCGAAAATCTCCCCGCAACCCCTATCGAAAAAAAATATATTATATTCAACCCCCTGCATGAAAAATTTTTTTTAGTGTGTAAATGAAAAACTGCTGCGATGCCATATGGTAGGAATCATTCAAACACACCCAAGGAACGATTTGCCTATCGAAAAACTCCCCGCAACCCCTATGGAAAAAAAATATATCATATTCCACCCTACAGATAAAAAATTTTTTTTAGTGTGTAAATGAAAAACTGCTGCGATGACATAGGGTAGGAATCATTCAAACATACCCAAGGAACGATTTGCCTATCGAAAACTCCCCGCAACCCCTATCGAAAAAAAATATATCATATTCCACCCTACAGATAAAAAATTTTTTTTAGTGTGTGAATGAAAAACTGCTGCGATGACATATGGTAGAAATCATTCAAACATACTCAAGGAACGATTTGCCTATCGAAAATCTCCCCGCAACCCCTATCGAAAAAAAATATATTATATTCAACCCCCTGCATGAAAAATTTTTTTTAGTGTGTAAATGAGAAACTGCTGCGATGACATATGGTTGGAATCATTCAAACAGACCTAAGAAACGATTTGCCTATCGAAAAACTCCCCGCAACCCCTATCGAAAAAAAAAGATATCATATTCCACCCTACAGATGAAGAATTTTTTTCAGTGTGTAAATGAAAAACTGCTGCGATGACATATGGTAGGAATCATTCAAACATACTCAAGGA